ATGTATATTTTTGTTCACTTTTTTTTACTATTTTAGGCAGCACTCTCTAAAGCCCCTTTTAGGCAACGCTTTTTATTTTAGAAGTGTTTTCTAATACATCCCTTTAGGAAACACTTTCTTTAAAAGCGTTTTCTATTCCCAATTATAGGCAGCGCTTTTTTGTTTAAAGCGCTGTCTAATGTTCACAGATTTTTTTAATATATATACAACTTATATTTGAAACACTCTCTACAATTAATCACTTAAAATAAATGCTATCTTTCAAATTTGTACTAGATTTCATAAATTTGCAGCTTCAATCCAATAAGTATGCACCAAATTTACATATGTATATATACAACTTTAATCCAATAATTTATATATACATAAGTTTTATACAACTTGAAATATATATATATATATATATATATATATATATATATATATATATATATATATATATATATATATATATATATATATATATATATATATATATATATATATATATATAGTTAAATCTGTTAGTTTTTGGTATATATATATGCAAATGTACATATTACTATCTTGTAGAGCTGCTATCTTCACTACAAACAACAACAATGAAGAATCTTAAATGAACTTGTTATCTCTATATCTTCTACACATGCACATACTTGAAATAAAACTAACAAAGGCATATCATAACCAAGCTATATAACACTTAAATCTTATAACTATTATCTATTAACACAATCCAATGTAACACAAAAAAATCAAGAATCCGTTATAATCCACCATTAAAAATTCCCCAATTCATACAGTGATACAAACAAAACTTTATTTGATTTAAAATCCAATACCATCCTAACTAACCTTCCACATAACAACAACAATATTACAACATAATTTACAACACTAATGACGACATATTATCTCATAAAAACTCAAACTTATATATATATATATATATACTCAAAATTTTCATCAATGAAAGTGTCACAATATCTTATAAAATTCTCATCTCAATAATGTATTGACACAAATCCTCGTTAATTTTGCTCAATTGATCTTTCGAGTAAGTAGAAGACTTGTACTTATCAAAGTACTACATACTTCAAAATAATATGATTTAGTTAAAAATAATTAATTAGATGAGATATGTTAAATATTAAAATAAATCACAAGTTAGAAACCCATATCATGGTTGGAATCTCTATTTGATTCAAAATAATAATTTCTTTCATAAACATCAATATGAAATAACCGCAATCTATACCATTACGCTGACGAGGACACTACACATAGAAAAAATGAATATATCAGGATATATAGTTTAACTTGTTTTATCAAGTAGCATCACTAATATAATCAAAATTGTGAAAATATACCTGCACTCTGATCCATATGATGTTGTTTTCTTTACTCTTTGGTACATGAGTATTTCTTTGTGATCGAAAATTTTATATAACTCTAACAAAATATAAACGAATATTTAGAACAATCTCACATAAATAAATAAATAAATAAATATACAAACGAATATTTAGAACAATCTAACTTACGTATCAACCATCTTCTTCATATCTGAATATTTTATCCAATCACCTTCTAATGAATTCAGATAATATACAATTTCTCTTATAGGATTAATCACAACCAATAACCAGTGTCCACTGTAAGATTAACAAAGATTAGATGGAAACTTTCAACACAACGTTAAAACACAAAAAATTATAATAGATGAAGTTAGAATGAAAATCTAACCCATTGCCAGTATTAAATGGTAAAAAATAACTTTTTGTATCTTTGTTGGCCATAAATGCACAAACAAAGTACTTTTTGACTTCATCTGATCTTTGATCGGTTAATCATGAGTTGATATTATTGGGAGATAAGAAACATAATCTTTGTTGCAATTAATGCGTGCGCATCAAGTTGTCATACATGAACCTTAAATAAAAACATCATTAACATTAAGACTATTCATTGAAATGAGTAAATAAATTGTTCGATTAATTAAATAAAGTTGATCAGAGTATACGTGATATATGTATCGATAACACCGAGGCATAATTTCGAATGTCCAAAAACTTGATCCATATCCCCATTACTAATTTTTTTCATAATAGGAAAAACCAAAAATACTTTCCTCCATAGGTATATTACGAGTACCTCCGTCAGCCAAATCTGAAATTCCTATTAATGTATGAAGGCACGACCTATACTGAGAAGTAGGCTTTTTTCTAGTTGCAGTCTTTGCAACATCCATTTTTTTGTGTGGACATGTTGCTAATTTCATACTTCTTACTCCTACTGACTTGTTGCATCTCTTTGGGCAGCGCTTTCTAGAATTTATTTATTTTTATTTCAATTTTAATTGACCTTAGGTGGTGCTTTTAGAAAGTGTTCCCTAAAGTATGGTTTAGGCAACGCTTTTTCTTAACTTTAGGCAGCGCTTTTTTCTAAAGCGTTGTCTAATGTATATAGTTTTCAAATTTAAAATTTTATCGGAACATATAGCAGCGCTTTGGTACAGAAGCATTGTCTAAGGTGTGCTGCCTAAAAGCCATTTTGGCGTATAGCCTCAATGACTTTCAGTTTAGGGTTGCGGTATCGGGTGGTGTTGAGGCCATTTTGCATAGTGCCAACAATGTTTTAAGAAAGCGACACGAAGATGGTTCCTTGGTTATGTTTACTATAGATTTTTCGAATGCTTTCAACATGGTAGATCGATTGGTCTTATTGCGCGAGGTAAGGGTGAGATGCCCATCTATTTCTTTGTGGGTTTAGTTTCTTTATGGCCAAGTAACAAGGTTGTACCTTAGGGATAAACATATTATGTCAACCACCAGAGTGTAACAAAGTGACCCGTTAGGCCCACTCATTTTTGCTCTTGTGTTACTCCCACTCATTCATCAGGTTAGGGAAAATTGTAAGCTTCTTCTTCATGCCTGGTATCTTGATGATGGGACTATTATAGGAGATTCACAGGAGGTGGCTAAAGCCCTTGATATCATTCGGGAGACATGTCCATGATTAGGTCTTGAATTGAATATTCATAAGACTGAGATCTTTTGGTCTTCATGCTATAGAAGTAAACTTCGTGAGGATCTATTCCCGTCAGAAATAGGGAGGCCACTGTTAGGGACGAAGTTGCTTAGACGGGTTGTTAGTCAGGATGACGTCCATTAAGGAGTTGTCCAAGAAGAGAGCTTCAAAGGCTATTGATTTAATGCACCTTCTATCATAACTAAGGGACCCTCGGTGTGAGTTTCTTCTAATTCGATCTTGCATGGGTATTTCCAAATAATTTTTTGGCCTAAGAACGTGTCAACCTACTCATATGAAGGAAGCCGTTGTTTTGTTTGATAAAGAGTTGTTGAAGGCAGTTAAAGACATCATGGTTGGTGGAGGTCCTTTCTTCGGGGACTTTCAAAGGAAGGTGGCTTTATTACTCATTATAGTTGGGGGTTTGGGCTTGTACTCGACTGTAGAAGCGGCCTCATACGCCTTTATGGCTTTTAGGGCCCAGTCTTTGGTGTTGCATGATCATATATTGAGACATAGAGGGGTGTATGGTTTGAACTCGTATTTTGATAAAGCTTTGGATGGTCTTAGTTTGCGATTCCATATTTTGACCTTAGAAATTTTACTAGTAAGGACATCATCCCTCATAAAGTACATGTTTTGGCGAGTGCCATTTTTAGTAAAATTGTTAAGGACGTAGATTTGAAGTTTGACACGCCCACAAGGTAGAAGGCAATTTTGGGTTGTTTGCAAGTCACACATGCTCAGGACTTTCTCCTTGCTATTTTTATTTGGATGGGCTAAGCCAACATATATCATTGATGGAGTATTGTACTATCCTAAGATACTGTCTTATGATTTCTTTATTTCTATTGATGATGTTTGTCTTGTTTGTCGTAATGCATGTTTGGATACATTTGAAGAATATGCGATTCATTGTAGGGAGCTTATAGGCTTCAAATACCGACATGACCTTGTTAGGGATGTCTTGTTTGATATATTCTGACGTGCCGGAGTATCTGTGAAGAATGAGGCGTTTATGGATTTTTTGACTGACCCGCTTGAGGGGAGATCGACAGTTGGGCTAACAGATGTTTTGGTGTACGAGTGGGTAGGAGGGAAACATGCTTGTGTGGACTTGACGGGATTTCTCCACTTGTGGGTTTGAGGGGGTGATGGTTTTACTGTGGGACAGACAGCTCTCAAAGCTGCTTCCAATAAAGTGGTCAAACATGAGAAAGCGTATTCTAAAAATCAACATATTTTTATACTATTTACCTTTGACATTTTTGATTTCCTAACACCAAAAGCAGTTGATCTTTTACAGAGAGTTAAAAGACTTATGAATAGTAATATTGTATCTCCTAGATAGTTTTAAGAGGATTGATTTCAAACAATTTAATATTAATCTTTTAAAAGAAGATGATTACTATTTTAAATAATAATTAAAAATAAAATTGGTTTATTATTTTATAAAAAAATTATTTTAAAACGAATAATTTTTTATTTAAATTCAATGGAATTGCATTAATAAAATTAAAATAATAGGAAAAAATATTAATTTATAAAAGTATATAATATAAAACATGTGATGGGTTTAGAGTGATGGAGAGACAGTAGTTGAGTGAAACATAAATCTAAATAGAGAAAAAAGTGTATTTGAAATAAGAAAAATAAAAGTGTCACATTACATTGTAGAGATGAAAGTTTGTTTTTTTTTCTAATCAAAGCATCTAGGAATCAAAAAGACCTTTAATTAAATATACACCCTAACATGCATACTTAATTTACTAAGACTACTACATCATATCTTAACTAAGGAAACTATTCTATACAATTCTAGGATCCATATTGCTACCATTAAAAATTATATAAATTCCTTTCATGCCAAATTTTGTAAATGGTTTTTGCAAGCGCCATTTTCAAAATTTGCCTGTACAATTCATTTTTCTTTGTTATTCTTATGAGCCATTCGATTTCTTAATCCCATTCAAGGGGAGTGTGGTGCACCTTCAATCATTTGAGAACATCATGCCAAATCCGCTAAGTGTACCTGCAGCCAAACAACAAGTGTTATACACATATAAAAAAAAAAAAAATTCTTCTATTGGATTTAAATTGGGTCAATTTTGGTTTTGTTTTTTTTAAAATAAATTTTAGTGTTACATAATTTTGTTTAAAAAAATTGACAAAAATAATTTTTTTTTAATTTTAAATTAAAATTTAATTTGAATAATTATTTTTAAATATTATTATTGATATTTTATGTTATTGAAACTATTTTTGAATATAATTTTTTTTAAAAATAACTTTTAATAATGTATGTAAAATTCACTTTCACAAAAATCATTTTAAAATATAATTTTTTGAAAAAATTACAATTTCGATTATATTTGAATCTTTAATAATGTATGTTTATATTAAAAAGGTCAAAATTAGTCCTTTAATGTTGAAAAAAATATTAAAAAAAATTTATAATATTTTGAAAAACTGTTTTATAAAATTCATTTTTGAAAATATAAAAAAAAATTGATTTTTTTAAAGATAAAACAAACATGTCCGTTATACTGAAATTTTGGATTTTAGAAGATTTCAATGAACATAATCAAAATAATCAGATACGATTCGAGTTGCAGTTACAATGCAATATTTGTTGACAACATTGCAATAATTGTGTTGCTGATGTGCTACCATCACTACTGTCTTTTAAAATCTGGAACTTTCCAAAAATTAAGGAGTTGTGCAGTTGAGCTTGAAGCTTCTGGATCACAATGCAGTTTTGAATTTTAATACATGTATAAAACTTTTATGAAGGAAATTGCATTGCTAAAACATAGTTGTTGAATATTCCGAGTCATTCAAATTAAATACTTTCATTTGTGTGATTGTATATTTCATTTATGTGATCGTATTGTGTGATTGTATAAGTATATCTGTCTTTATCAACCATGTAGTTGAATGAGCCATTGGCGTAAGGTGTAACATAATTCAAATATATGAAAGACCAAGTCGTACTATCGGTAAAAGACAATATAGTTAAAGGGGCCTCCACTGTGTGGGAGATCTCATGCCTCTTTTTTTGGGATTACTCCCTCAAAGTTAACATGACTATACCGTCCGTTCTATCTTAAAGTTTTCCCAAGTCCGGATATAGGACTTATAAGTAATCACCAAACACCCTGAAAACCAGGAAAATCCAAACAAACATATATACAACATATAACATATCAACAACAACACATATACAAATATAGACAAAGATAGGTTCAACCGACTTAGGGATGAACCAACAAGAAGTCAATCTTTCCCCAGTGAAGTCTCCATTTTTCTCTGTAGTAGTAGAAATAATTAAGACTAAGTCATTGGATTGACTAGACTTATACAGATCAAAATAAAAACTGCAACCGCACTTTATTGTTTCCAAAGGAATGGGAAAAGAGCGAGTAACCCAAAAAGAGGGGGAAAGATTCAAGGTAAGGGGGTTGGTTATGCAAAGGGAAGGTATTAGCGCCATAAACATCTATGATACTCTGCAGGATCCTCTTTGTAAAATCTGTATATTTTGGCTATAAAATGTTGTATGTAAAATAGATGGTGGAGGTGAGAACCTTTAGTGCCTTTAGTGCCTACCGCGGTTGCGAACCTTTAGTGCCTACGCACCACCTTTCGTGAAATAGGAGATCAGGGTACACGTAGTTCACCTTTTGAAAATTTTGAAAACACAAGTGTATTGGTTAATTTTATGAGATAAGACATCATCGTCATTGTCCGTGTGGAAAACATACTTACTACCCACAATCATGAGAAAGGAGAATTTGCATCATCTCAAAGTGGAGGATATGACTTGGATTTTAAAAATCAATTATGCCTCACTCAACACCCAAGTGGAAAATATCTCTCTTCACTACATATTGTAGAAGTATAGTTGTTTGCATCACTACAAGGATTGACAAGAGTCTAATCTTTTGAGAAAAGTTTTAAAAATAAAAATCCAAAGTGGCAAAATGGTTTGAAATAATATTGATTGACTTTTAGTCTTCTCACAAAAAAATGAGGATGTCAAAGTATTATTAAGTTGATTGAAGTTTATTCATGAAAAGGTTTTAAAAATGCATGAACCTAAGTCCAAGTTTATTATGAAAGTGGTTCAAGTTTCAAAACAAGAAGGGTTTTCAAAAGGAGGAAGAAGCTTTTTGAAATTAAAGAAGGTGGGAGAAGAAGAAGAGACTATCATAAAGCATAAGGTAAAAGCTATGGATAAGAACCATATAACCAACAAGAAGCCATTACTTGACATTATGAGTCAAGATAGAATTCTCATTCTTTGGATTGAAATCGAGCAAGCAAAGATACTAGATCTCTTGAGAAGACCAAACTTCAAGTGTATCAAGTCTTCACAAAAATTGGGCAGAGTAACGACTGTTTACGGGTGAATTCCAGATTACCAACAAAGAATGTAATAATAATAACCTGCACACAAAACAAACAAACAACCCAATGTCTTCGGGTAAACTTCAAGAACTCTAGACAAAATATCAATTAAGGTCACAAGGTCTCCAACATAGGCCAAAGTTTCTATTCCTAAGTCCAAGAAGTCTAAAACTCCATAATGCCAAGGATAGTAACCAAATAGTCCAAGTATCATTAAAGCTTTTTTATGGTTCATGTTGATTATTAGGTGTCTTAAAAAAGAAAAGCTCAAGTGAGCAAAAATAAAAATGACAAGAAAGTAAATGCTCAAGTGAGCAAAGATGAAAATAGCATGAAATGTAAATGCTAAAAGTAAACGGTGCATAAAATAAAAGAGCATAAAGTAAAAAAAACACAAAATAAAGTCAATTATTAGTAATTAGTGGTTAGTTAGATGACCATCTTGAAACTTGCATTTGGAACTCATTAGAGGATTGGTAGAACCAAAGCCTCCACACAACAAGTTGCATTTGTTTTTTGTCAAGTATATCATCCATTTGGAATCCTAAAAAAAAGTAACATTTAATGATCAACGATGTTTAAGTGATCTGCATTGACCAAAAGTGATGTAGATCCATTAGAGGATTGGTAGAACCAAAGCCTCCACACAATGAATCTCAAGGTTATTGGATCAAAGAGATCAAATTAACATACTTGGGCTTGCAAACATAGGTTTGGGCCACGAATGATCATTTATTCAAATCGGGACAAAATTTAGCGCTATGTAAAGCAATCGTAAGTGGACTTATATAGAAGTCGCACCTATTTTGAGGCCGGTTAATAGCAATCTATGCACCATTTGTTTTGAGACATGATATAGAGATCATGCTCCAATAACACTTAGTAAAATAAGAAAGGGATAAGATGAAGAAGGGTGGGAAAGAATATAAAAATCACATTTGAATTAAAATTCATTCAAACTATTATTAAAATCATTCATTCATTTTTGTGGAGTTAGACTCAACACCATGGATCCAATGATGTTAACAAAGTTCATAATCAAAAATTCGATCCAAGATCAGCCAGAAAATATACAAAAATTAAATTGTATTTTAAAATAAAAGAGTAAGGGTTTAAAAATGGTTAAAAATAAAAATAATAGAGAAAAAAGGAAACTATGTTCAAATTAATCAAGAAAAAATAAGTAAGACCATAGAAAAATCAAAATTGGACTCAAATATTTTTATAAATTTTTTGGTAATTTTTTAAAGTCAGAAACTATTTTTAAAATTAAAAGAAATGAGTAAAATAAACCAAAAATGATAAAAAATAACAAAGTCAGAAATAAAAAAATAAATGAGGTCACTAATATTTGTCACAATATCATTGGATCATTCTATATTTTTTTCAGAATTTCAAAATGCATAAAAGTATTTTTAAACATTTAAAACAATTCAAATAAAGTGAAAATTTATAAAAATATCAAAACACAAAATAAAATTGTGTAAAAATTAAAATCAGAAAGAGAAAAATCAAAAATATTTTTCATAATTTTTTCAGATTTTTTGGACTAGAAATGAATTTTCTATGATTTTTTAAAGTTTAAAACAATTAAATATAAAAATCAGAAAATAAAATAAAAACCAAAAAGATGTGGACCAATGGATGAGGGTTAAAACGCGTTAGTAATCAAATCCAAGGGATTTGGAGCGATGTGCATATCATGGTCATTAATAAATATCACACCAAATCCTACATTTTTAAAATAAAACAACTTAAAATGCGGCGCGTTGGATGGGGTCTGACTCACAAAAGTAATCAGATCCAAGGGCTCCTGAGGCACGCGCATGGTATGTCAAACATATTATATCTGTTTCAAAAAAAAACGTGGCTTCATGTCATTGGTTGAAGACAGACATGTCATTGTCTTCAACCTTCAGTCATCCCTAAATTGAATCCTTCAAACTGTAAAATTAGCAAATCAGACCGGTTCCATTAGATTTGTCTCTTCAAGACGATTCTAATGGTACCATCGCGCTAAATTTATATAAATTGTGAAAGGTTGTGTTTGAAGAAAACCAGAAAAAATAGCGAACACGAAAATCTGGGATATCTCACTTAATTCTCAATGAAATTGCAAATTATAAAGAGCACGAGGATCAGAAGAATACAAGGAGTGAATTAGTCTTTTATTTGAATCAATTTGGCCAAGAAATCTACCTGAACAAAGTAGTGAGAAGTTTCTCTGAAACTGGACTTCTATAGATCAATATAGGTCACAATTCTTGAAAGTAACCGCATGGTTAGCTTCAGAAAAGTTCAATGAAGCTAACTGAATGGAGCTTTTGGTGTTTGAAGGTGAGAATGTAAGAAATTAGAATTTCAAATTCAGAGTTTGTGTGGGATCTGAACAGGGGTCAATTGGCTATCAAAAGCTTGCCAAAATGAGTGAGGGACGATCCTTATTTATAATTGATCATGATGCAAGGCTCAAGCGTGTGAATTGGAGGCAAAATCAGTGAAATCACGTGGACTTGCTAAGTGTGAAAAGTGTGACTTCACATGACTCAAAACGCAGCAAAATGAATGGTTTAAGGGTCGTTTCTTGTTGTGGCAAGTTCCTAAACATGATTAGACACGAAATTGGTCCTTAAACATGCTTGTAATTGGATTTAAACTAATTTTCAAATCTGAGTGAACTTGGAATTTTCATTTTATGATGCTACTTTCATAACCATGGAAACATCTAGGTTACCTTGACGGAGCTTGTATATATCCTCTTGTAAATCAGAAATACGAAATATATCACTGTGAGAAAACCTGAGCTGAAGATTCTTCCAGACTCCACCAGCACTTTCAATCCAAAGCACTGATTTTGCAATGCAGTCAGAGATGGACCTATGAATCCACAAGAGCACCATTGTGTTGCAGCGAATCCACGACGCGTACAGGGGATCAGAAACTGGTGGTTTGCTAAGAGAGTCATCGATAAATTTGTCTTTGTTTTTGGAAATCAATGCAATGTGCATAGATCTAGCCCAACTGTGGTAGTTTTTGTCATCAAGAAGAGGAGACACCAAAATCAGTGCAAGGTTTTCATTGGGATGGAGGTAGAAAGGATTTGTAGAATTTGTTGAAAAATCAATGAATTGTTGGTATGCCATTGTTGAAAGGTTCAAGAATTATGAAAACAAGAGGATACGATACAAGAAAGGGAATAATAATGACTACCAGAGTTGTGTGTGCTCTGATACCATATCAACATTGAAGAAACAAAGCATGGTAGTTTACTCCAAAAACACAAGCAAGGAGGAAGAAGAAGTTGTAACTGAATCAGTTACAACATAACAAAATGGAACAATAAAGCGGAAGAAGATTGGAAGATATCATTCATTGATTAATTGAATAATAGAGGTACATACAAAGATCTTATATATTTATAGGATATCTAAAATAGACCAATATTATAGGGACACGTGGCTAACTATTCTATCCATCTAAACCTATCTAAAAAAAAATACGCTGAAAGCCATCCAAAAAGTAAAACAAACTTTAAGTCTAACTTAATTATTAAACAAAATATTCTTCCACCTCACTTGTTCAATGCTGCCACAAATATTTGCTTCATACATAAAGCCTGTAAGAAGTATATAATTGTTCCTTTTAGTGTAATTAAATTAAACATAAAAAGATAGATAAGGTAGTGTGCTAGTATGTTTCATAAATAGTTATAAAGTAGTTTTAATTTCTTGCATAAATACTAATTGAAATGTGTTTGAAATATATACTCATATAAAAAATAATATTTTCTTCTGTTGGATTTAATATTGGGTCAGTTTGGTTTTGTTTTTAAAAAAAAAATAAATTTTAGGGTTACATAAATTTGTTTTAAAAAATTGACAAAAATGATTTTTTTTTAATTTCAAATTAAAATTTCATTTGAATAATTATTTTTTTAATATTATTATAGATATTTTATCTTATTGAAACTATTTTTAAATATAAATTTTTAAAAAAATCACTTTTAATAATGTATGTAAAAATCACTTTCAAAAAAATCATTTTAAAATATAATTTTTTAAAAAAATTACAATTTCGATTATATTTTAATCTTTAATAATGTATGTTTATATTATAAAATATCAAAATTAGTCCTTTAATTTTGAAAAAAAAACCTATAATATTTTTAAAAACTGTTTTATAAAATTCATTTTTGAAAATATTAAAAAATATTGATTTTTTTAAAGATAAAACAAACATGTCCATTATACTGAAATTTTGGATTTTAGAAGATTTCAATGAACATAATCAAAATAATCAGATACGATTCGAGTTGCAGTTACAATGCAATATTTGTTGACAACATTGCAATAATTGTATTGCTAATTGTATATTTCATTTATGTGATCGTATAATTTATTTGTGTGATTGTATAAGTATATATGTCTTTATCAACCATGTAGTTGAATGAGCCATTGGCGTAAGGTTTAATATAATTCAGATATATGAAAGACCAAGTCGTAATATTGGGATGAAAGATCTCATTTGTCATCTCATTAAAAAATATTAATTGTAAGTAATTGTATGTGCCCCTCATATATTTATTTATAATTTAACAACCAATTTTTCATGTTTTCAAACCATTATGTCTCTTTTTCACACTACTCATTTCAATTTTTTTCATTATCCCACCTCTTCTATCTCTTTCCATTCTCATCATCTTCATTTAATTTCAATTTTTTTATTATATTTCAATTTTTGTTGTGATATGAATTATCAATAAATATAGATATTTAATATGATCAAAATTTAATATTTTATTGAATATATAGGATGCAGGACAATCACAACAGTTTTAACTAATGCAAAAGTCCAATACATAAGTGATGTCCTTCGTGCATCAATTTCCTATTTGACTTTACCAAACTACCATATTTTTATAGTCGAGTGTTAGATTCATATTTTTAGAATTGACAACAATTTTGCTAAAGTATGGTTCATGATAGATGTTGAGTAAGATGTCATAACATCTTGACCAAACTCATACAATCGAGTGTGAGCTTACATTGAAGATAAATATTTTGACAAATGTTGTGACATGTTGTATCAGAACATCCGTACATGTTGTTTTAAATTTTGACAAATTTGATTTGATTTTGTGATATTTCTTTTGGATATATCTCAATAATTTACGCAGGTCAAGAAGATTTAATCTGGAACAAGTGATCTATTCTCCAACTGTACATAAGTTTCTAAAATTGGATGTCGAGACAATTTATAAAACTTGATGTTTTGTTCCAAGATTTTAAGAGATTTTTCTGCATAATTGGTGCAGTCCTTAGCTTGTGGATCAAGAAATATCTGGGTAAAGATTTCGAAGTCCATGGACTACAGAGGTGTATTTAAAGAGAAACCTAAATGTAATGTAATTTAAATTTTCACAATTGTAGAATTATGGGAAGTCTATAGTCTTAGGTTTTGAGAGTCTCTTGTGTCTTTGTAAGTCACCCATGTATCTTTTGATACATTGAGATATACTGATTGTTACTTTATTGCTTATCAAGTTATTATTCTCACTCTTGAAACTTTTAAGCATAGAGTTAAGTATTTTTCTTAGTTGAAACTTTTAAGCAAAACTGAATATTGTTTATTGAAAGTGTAATCATGTGGTTTTGATTCTTAGTCACGGGTTTGTGATAGTAGTTTATCACTCAGGTGATTGGCAGGAAGTGAGAAGGAGATCTCATATCTAGAAGGTTTCTAGGTAGAAGTTGCACAAGGTAGTGATTAGGTGAGAAGTTATAAACTTGGACTGTTTGAACTTTGAACTAATGTTGTCATACTGAATTTCCTTCCTGACTTGGTAGCCTCCAAAGTATGTGACGTTGCACCGAACTGTATTAAAAATCAGTTGTGTTATTTATCATCCTGTCATTTATTTATGCATATTTTACAGTTTGATATATTATGTTTTGTTTGTCAACAAATGTTGTAACATCTGTCTTGACATTGTATTCTAATATTGGGACATTAGTATTATCATGTTTTAAGTTACAGAATTTCAATTGGCATCAGAGCAGACACCCTGGTCTATTTATTGGGTGAGCTTCAGGGAGAATTTTTCTGGTATTATATGTCTTTTAGAAGGATAGAATGTTAGCATTCTTGAAATCAATGGACAATAGAACTTGGAAATTTATCAGGTTGGGAGAATCTTCGTGCTAAGGATATAGAAGGAAAGAGTATGTATTGGCTCTTTTTAACTCTAAAGCTTTGAATGCCATGTTCAATGGAGTTAATGGAATTATGTTCAGATGACTACACTTGTGCTATGGCCAAAAATGCTTGAGAATCTCTCAAGATCTCTCATGAAGGCACATCTAAGTGATTTGGGAGAAAATAGTTCAGAAGAATTATTGGTTAGGAAGGTACTAAGTCCTCTTCTAAGGAAGTTGACATAAAGATCTGAATAGAAGAACAAACACATGTTTCTGTCTCCAACTCTGTAGGAGCTTGTGACGTGGTTTTTATTTAAGGGATATTCATTGCTATTTGTTCCCTGGAAAACAATTCAACAATGTTCTGAGGAAAGTTGGAACAGATGAAAAGGCCAATCCAAGGAAAGGAACGAAGTATCATATATTTGAAAATTTTGGATTTTTCCCTACCTTCCTTAAGTAACAATCTAAGGGCTTTCTATTTCTTGGTCTGATGAGAGATATGATCCCGTTATTGAGTTTTCCAAGAATGTTAATGCCTTTTCTGGAAGGTGGATTTCTGATGTAGATTCATGTGTTAAAAGGAATATCTTATGGTGAGCTAGCTGCTTCTTACAAAGAGCCGAGGACTAAAAGTGAAGAAGTCTGTCAACGGGGAGAAAAAAAAAAGAGAACATGATTGGAAAACTATAAGGAATAGGGTTTGGTTATTAAGGCTCTATCTAGCATGCAAAATCTTTTGTGATAAGCCTTGGTCTCTCCAAAAGGCTGGCTGAGTCAATGATGTCAATCAAAATGTCTCAACATCATTCTAGACATCATATCTACTCAAGATAATGGCAGGTTCTTGCACTGATGTTATTCTCTCTGTGGTAGAGATTGTCATATCAGGTCTCTTTGGTTCAAAATCAATGACTATTCTAAAGTTCAACTCAACCTAAGGTTGACTACGCAGTGGTCAAAATTAGGAAGATATGGAATCTTAAGCTAATTTGCCTTATTATCTTTTCTCTCTTAAAGCTTCATCAAAAAGAGATTGGTACTTTGATAGTGAATGTTTCAAAGAAAGTTCTGATATCTGTGAGTCTCATTCTACCAGCTTTATTACTTTTGGTAATGGTACCAAAAGGTAAAATTAAGGGTGCTGGAGAAATGGATGGATGATAGACTGACATCTAATATGATGAACATAAGTCAGTTACATGGTCAAGGTCTGAAGGTAAATCTCACTAATGGAGATTGTTTGGTCTCTAATGAGGTGTATAGAGTTATGATAAGGAAGTTAAGTCCAAAAACAGTTGCTATTTATGGATACCACAAGTATCTAATTTCTTATTTTCATGCTTGATGTTCAAGGAATATGAAGCCAAGATGTTACAACAGAAGTTACAACATATGACAACTGCCAATATTCTAGAATTTTCTTTTGTGGATCTAATAAGGCCAATGTAAGGTAATATTCTTTGTTGATAGAGGCATTTCTCTGAGGATTTTGATGATGTTTCTAAAAATGACCTGGCTAATCAATAGAAATGACCTGGGTTCCCAATTATGGTGAAGGAATAAGTTTGGGATCTTTTTTAAGAACAAGTAATGTTGAGATGCTAACTCCAGAACCAATGTCCATGATTCTATCATTAAGGAAAGGACTAATGTCCAAGCAAATGTTGGAACATCATCTCAGCAAGTTGAATTCAGAAAATAAGGAAGACTCTAAAGAGCTAGAGGAACTGAGTTAGAGAGATCTCAAGCAAACAAAGTTCTCTCTTGAGATTTATTTGTTTAAAGGAATTCATTATTTGAGTTATTCTTTAGAATCAGAGATATGTTATCTAATTCTGGTTTTATCTTAGGTTTTGTATTTAAATTAATTGAGACCTTGTCTGATTAGCGTTGGAGTAAATCTATTGATACAAAATTGATTTTCAAGAACAAATGTGATGGAG